GTGTTCGAACATTTGATCTGTGCACGGAAAAGAATGTTCTTGTGACTGGTGGAATGGATCGAATTGTGAGAATCTGGAATCCATATTTGCCATCTCAACCGATCGCTCGACTTCGTGGTCATAATGCACCTATATTTCTTGTGAAGATTGCAGTGGAAGACAATCGATTGTTTTCGATTTCAACAGACAAGACAGTTCGGGTAAGTGATGCGTTGATTATTCCTTTTCGTAGCAAAGTACGATTCTGCTTTCACTAACTTATAGCTTTAATGTCAATATAATTATAAAGAAAAACGAATGACTGCTCTTGTAAAAACCAAAAATGACGAAAAGAGGAAAAAAAACAAAAATAGAAGATTTTCTTAAATAACATCTTTCTTTTCGTCATTCTTCGCAGCTTTTTTTCTTGAGTTTTTTCTTTTCATCGGTGTACCATAGACAAGTGTTGCTTTCAATGGAGGAAGTGTCACTGGATGATTTGGTAAAACATTTAAAAACGATGGAATAGAAGTAAGACTATAATTAAAATGCTTTGATATCCACTCAATTGCAAATTTATCTGTCCGAAGTTTCCCCTGTCGCGTATATAAACGTACTGCATACATCCACGATATATCATCCCAGATTGAATGATATTTCATATTAGTCCATGTGTAGTTCTTCTCAAGTGGAGTTTTCCATCTGTCTTTTCCATATTCGCTATCGAGATATTGCACAGGTGAACATGGCACTGAAAATCGATGACCGAATAGATCACATGAACAAAGTTTTTCGAGTAATGGAAGAGTACGTCTAAATTATTCAAAAGAACGAATGTTTTGTTTGAAATGTAGCTAACGTAGAATAAAAAAACATCATCTACAGAAAGCTGATTTAGTCGAAAGAAATGATGATGCTTCAATTGTAAAATGATAGAAAACGGAAATAAAAGAATTGACCTTGTATTTTTCTTTATCAACTGTCAAAATAACGAGACACAGCTCTTCATTCAATTACTACTTCTATCGAAGAGACACTTGACTTATTATAATTGACTTGTCCATTCTTTTCTCCTCTCCTGATACACTACTTTCAAATTCATCTTTTCTACGATGCTCTACATTGAACTACATGCTTCCATTACACCTATTTCTATCCAATCTCGTCATCATCGAGTAAATCGAAGGAAACTCCTACCGAAACTTCACTCGATTAATTTGATAGCCACACCAACGATGATCTCCGTCACGATATGCCCAAAACAGATCCAATGTAAATCGTCCTGTATACAGACGAAACTCCAATGAATCGTTCACCTAGCAAAACTCTTTCCAATTAATATTTATCGAAATTTTACAAATCAAACCGAACTACTTACCAGTCCCAATGCACCCCAGAGATACGTTATCGGATTTCCAAGAAAATGACTTCGAATATTTTCATCGTATTCTTCAGCATAGAGACCAAAATCTGCATCGAGAGTGTACGGTATTAAACCGCAATGTCGATACCAGCCTTGTTGAATGACATAGTCAATCATAATCACATAGCAATTATCGAGAAAAAAAGAAATTACCGAGTAGAGTACCGCCCGCAAGCCAATAATGTTTCTGCAATTTATTTAAGGCAAAGGCAATATTTTTCATAGGTACAACAGTTATATTCAGTTGACTAGCATTTTGATAAAGGTGCAGATCATTTTCCATCTGATCGGCTAATTGTCGATTGCAGTGAAGAAATTCCGATGTTTCGTATAACCATAAGAAATGCGGCACGTTTCGAGGGTAATAGAACAAATATTCGTATGGTTCACTTTCGATACTAATGGCACATAAAGAAACAAATAGATTTTCTTTCGTATAAGAGACCTTACTGATCAACAGCACGTAGTTTGTCACCAAAAGGTAGATGAATATTGTCATCATCGGGGAATCGAAGATGATTGGATTGGATAAGGTAAAACGAGTAATATTTGTGTAGAACAGCTAGATGAAGAATTTTATGTTGATATGTGATAAAAATATGATCGATCGAAATTCGATGATTGTCCTGAGTAGTGATTGATGTTTGTACAGAGAAGAGAGGTGTTTGTTGAAGTGTTCGTAGTAAGAGTTGGACCGATTCATTGACAATAGCAAATGTTACTAATTGTTTGTCGAGTTTATCAAAAGGTAATTGATAAATAAAAAGAAAATCGAGGACAAATGGGTCAATTAAGATAATTTTAAAGTTTGATTGAAATAGATGATTAAGTATGAAATAAAACGATGAATTCAGAGAAGGTCGAAGTTGATTTGAGTTCTAAACCAACACGAAAAGAAACTAATTTGTTCATGATTTCAGTTTATTTACTTGTTCTGTTGATTGTTTCAATGTTTGAATCGTTAACCAAAGAGAAATATAGAGAAAAAATGCCAATAAGATCACTGATTTGTGATGAACTAAGAGACGAATTATACCCATCGACTTTCAGTCAGTAACATGATGTATAAGAGAAATGCCAATCGTACCAATGCGTCTAATCTGATTTCTTCGTTCTAATTCAATCCAATTGAATTAGCATGACAGGAAAAAGTCTGACTATTACGAATAAATTCATTAATACGATCGATCAGATTGGCTTGAATGACGCATAAGTAAAAACTTTCTCTCTCCGATGAAATTTTAACTAAAATAGAGACAACGACTAACATATCATTTACATGCTTTGTTGAATCTTATCTTTCATTGTCTTATCAATCTCAACAAAGCAACCATCTGCGTATATACACATATGAATGTCTAATCGTAAGACGAAAAACTGAGTCAGCTACATCGAACTCGTACCTGAGTTTAATATCTATTTCAATCTTCAAACTAATCATTTAATAGATTTGCTCTCTTTCTCTATTCGGGAGAGAATTGAATCAGCGTGTTGTAGATTTGAGAAAGAAAATGAAGGAAACATGAGAGAAAAGAGTGAACGGAAGTCAAGAACAATAATCTGAAAAAATGCGTCTTGTCATCAATCCTCGAGAGATTATCATGAGCGTTGCTCGTTTATGTTTAATTCTTGCTTTCTGCATTTTCGACGTACTTGATGACATAGATTTACATCGAGTAGATGAAACGATGATGAAACACGTACAAAGAATTCGTCGACATTCATCGTCTAGTATCGAATTTGAACTTGTCAAACGGTCTAATCTTTAAGAGAAAGGGCATAAAATATGTACCTAGTAATATACGATAACTGTGCTGTAAATCAAATATGAGTATTAGAGAGGAACGAAAAAATGTGTCTCGCTGCTGAGAGTGAAACGAACGAATGTTTACCTTGTAGTATTCGATGCTTTTTGGGCGACCAGGGATGCAGAAAAACGTAGCTTATTACTTGATTTAAGAAATGTTAAAGCAGAAAGAGTAGTTCAGTCTCTGTCTTGTAGCTTTGCCAATAGACAAAACAAACAAACGTATTTCTGCTTAATTGGATCAACTCCCGACGAACAAGTTTGGTTAAACAGAGTCTATGTCTCATGTATATAAACCAACACTTTCTGTCACGTTTCTTTTTTATCCTTCGTGTATTTAATTTACCTGTATCAATAAACATACCCTAAGGGAGAAAAAGAAAAACAAAAAGAGAAGTTAGTGATAAAATCCGTTCTACGACACGAGTATAAAGAGCGAAGAAATGATCATTTCTTCGAATGAATTGGACTGTAGAGAAGACAATAGGAGTTAGTGAATCATACACGAAAAGGTCCGTTGATGTACTTTTTTGCAAGACATATCGATCGTAAAAGTTATATACTGTCATTAAAAAAAAACGTCACCGATGCACTGCACGAAAAAAGTACTATCAGCTAAATCGGCCTATTTACCTTTTTGTATGAAAAAATATTTTTTTGTATATTAAGTGCGTATTCAGCTGCTCACTGTTCGTACGTCAGCCGCTAATTAAAAAAATGTCATACTCGCATAAAAATTTCATGCGACCTATTTCGACCAGAACGTGTAGTAAATTACGCGAATGAGGGCCAGCTGGTGTTGTTGTTGTGTTCAAATCAAATCGAGTCTGAACTGAACTTCATTTGCTTACAACTCAATTCGATTAGAACATTTACGCATATAAGAATAAGAACAGAAAAGAGAATAAGACAGTGTATATACAACAGATGTATTGTGAACTTTATCAAAAGAAAAATCGATCAAAACTGATCTGTTTCGGTTTATTTAGGTATGGGACCTAATTGAATATACACTTCTCGCCTGTATTCGACCAAAAGTCCACAAAATACGTGGAGATCTACAAGCTGTCTCTTATAATCATCATACACATTCTATTCTCTTTGTTGCAAGTGAACAAATTTCATTTCTTANCAGTTGTTGATGTGTAGGTTTTCTGTTTATTTATGAAATAGAAAGATATGCACTTCATCCCGAGTCCACTCCACCTCGTTGTAAGTTCGACATTTCTCATGAACATGGACGAGAATCATTCATCTTTGTTTTGAGGTATGAGAAGTTGGCGAGGTCATGTGGATAGTGTCACTGGTCTTGAGTATATCGAACAAGGTAAATACACTCACACACACATACGTGTGTGATATAACAAACTCGTCATTGATGTTTTGGTTTAGCTCAAGTGATCATCACTTCTTCTCTTGATTGGACCATTCGATTGTGGAATTTGCATGGCTTCTTCATTGGTAACTCACTCTCTTTCTTTCTCTCTCTCTCTTTCTCTACTGTGATAATCGATGTGAACAGGTACATTTGGTCAATCGGTTCCATGGAATTTGTATGATCCTGCTACATATCAACATCCGTCAGTTCCGCTCGATGTTCTCACTGATCCAAAAAGTCTACCGAAAAAGACACTTCCGAATGACGGAGAAGAAGAAGAGGAGGAGGAGGAAAAGAAAAAGACAACAGCAGTGACATCGGTAAGAACGAAACAGAATTGTTGAGAAGAGATGAATATTGAAGAATGACTTAGACAACAACTAACACGTATAAAAATATGCTGATTGATGATGAGACAATGGCGAATAATGTTCGTGAAACACTGAACAAAGTGCGTGAAGTTCAATCAGCTGGTTTAGCTGGTAAAAGGTGAGTTGACGTTTGTTGATTTGAGTTTCGAAACGATGAGAAGATTTGATTGATGAATAGACTTCGATATTTTCATGATAAACCGAACGTTTCATTTCGTCGTGATGGTTCGAGTCATTATCAACATTTGCGTTGTTATACGATTGATGACAATCCACCAACAATGTCAACGTCAACAAACGACAACACGATGTATTTGGCTAACTCAGTCAAGTCATAGGAAAGCGCAGACAAATATTTTTATTTTGCTCATTTCTGAAATATACTTTGCTCTTTTTCTGTATAAATACTGATACTAATTCCTGAAAGCAAACGTACTTCTTTAAGTTTGAAAGGATGAAAACAAGGATGAAAGTTCATATAAGAGTGAAGAAATCTCATATCACGTTAACATTGACAATCAAAACGCAAAGGCATTTTGTACAAAATGTCTTACCTTTTTTATTGCGATCGCTTCGTCAATAGTTTCCAAGAGAAAAAGTTAACTTTAATTTGTTGACTGATAATCCAAAATACACTTGATTTATCGTACTCTGATTTTGACCATAGAAGAAAAAAAAAGAAACTGTCATTTGATTCTGTCCCTATGACAAACGATGAATAAAAATCTTTTTTTTTGTTTTCTTGACAAATGAAACGAAGACGACAACTTATTTCTTACGAAACATTTCAAAGGTTTGTATATGCTGATATTCGATACAAATGCACTTGGCAACCATCGATGCGTCGAAATATTTATTCTCTTAAATCAACATATGAATAGACTCACTCGAATACTGTCTCCAATAGCTGCGATTTCTTCAGAAGAAAAAGAACAATTCAATACTTTTTCAGATGAGTTTCTTTATTGCGTAAAAAAATTGTTTTCTGAATTTCGAAGTTATCGAGAGGTAAGTAAATCATTTGAGCTTTATTTCGATTCACTATAAACACGGCACGTGTATCGATTTGATGTTATTTCAAAAAGCATAAACCTTATTATTTGAACTACATTATGATCGCTTTATAGACACTTTGTGTGCACGATTTATATTCCATGGTGCATTATTATCATTCAAATTTGTATGAATGACAGATTTTATTGTTTGAAAGTACCAAGTACGTATAAATAGCAGTGTTGGAAATACAACTGACTGTTTGTTTGGGATTATCTGTTTATATTCAATCGGATCTATGATTGGTTTCATGAATACTATGTAGAATTTATATCTTATAAAGTTGAAATTATGAATGTCGAAGTGCCCTTCTGCCTTGCTGAATAAAACATTTTAAAATTTAAGAATGGTTCGGTTAATTGTGTATCTTGGATGGAACAAACCGACTATGAATAAATCGTACAACACGCAAATGTAGACCAACAATGAATAGAGCAAAACAAACGTCAACATAGTGATTTCACTAAAATCAAGTCTTCTCAGCATCGAAAAAAGAAGAAGGATATGAAGTTTCATAGTCAGTTGTGCTACGAACAGAATTCGATAAAATAATTGTTTCGTTAGTTTGTAGAAAAATTAGTCGAGTTTACAAATTCACCCTATGTGTTCATAATCAAAATACTTCCAGATAAAATAACCTTTTTTGATCAGTTAATTTGAAGGAGACTGAAGAATCTTGAGAGTGTGTGAGGATGAGGGTAGGATATTTACCAAGTGAATCTTTTCATTTCTCAACTCTCGAATGTTTTCACCATCAATCGTGTGTTGATCTTCTTCATCAATATATAAATTATCCAAACATTTCCATTCCTCGTTCTATCACATCAAATCACTTTCCATCAAACACAACTATTCATGAATTGATAACGTATGCATTTACTGAACAATGGAAAACACAAACGAACTACTCAAAATACTATCATCAATGTTCACCTTTATCATGTTTATACACCAACATCGAAAAGTTCAATATCTTGTACATCATTGCACTTTTCCTTAGTCTTCAAGGTGGTTTGACGTTAGTTCTGGAATGGATCTGTCCAAAATTGATTCTAACTGTATTGAAAATGTCGGAATATTATCATAGAAAATACAGGACATCAATTCACCCGATACATTCTCTCTCAATCACATCAGATCGTCTCGAATGTATTGCTGATCTTCAAACATCCAAGTGATGCTCGGACAGTGAGCTTCTTATGTGTTAAGTTTGAATTCGTTCTATTTAGACGAACAACTGTTTCATCAACTTGGCGTTATTGGAAACTAATCTTGTTAGTTGTTTCATTGATATTACTGATGATCAGTATTGTGATATTTTCCGTTTATTATGCGAGAAAAGGTAGAAGAATTCAGTTTTCTGATAATTATGCAGAAATATTGTCTTGAATAGTTTCAGTGATGGATGAAACAATAGATCGAAACGAAAATACATCAAGTACAACGAGGTCGACATCTTCATCTGTGAAACATTTGTTCATATATTTTCTCCTCTTTTTATTAATGTATAGAGAACGATCTAATAAATCTTATACAACTTTTATGCAAAAGACGACGAAGATTTTTGATTGAATTTAAGTACATTTCTGCTATTCAGTATCTAAATGAATGATTATTTCAACATATCGAATGCAACTACAATGAACAATGCATTCTCTTTTATCGAACTAATATAAGTTTGTGAAGTATTTTCTGATCATCAAAAATAAAATCTATCTGAACGAGAAATATTCTTTCACTAACGTCTCTTAGTCAATCATAATTGTTAGATAGATTCGCGATATAGATCCTCACGAATCGTTACCCTATCAACATTCATCGTCGAAGTATGTTAGTTCGAACGAGTCGTCTCAACTCTCGTCGAAATATTTCGGATGACAAAGCAAAGTTAGTAAATGTCAACGAAAATCCAAGATAGATCAGAGCATAAGTCATATTACTAACAAATAAGTCGATAGTTGCATGTAATTTTGATTTCACGATGTACATAGTCAATGATTGATAAAGAAGAAAACATGGGTTTGGAAAATTAAAAATTATAAAAATTATAACTTGATTTGCCAACATTTTATAAAGTTGAGCGTCTTTCCTTGACATTTGATGATTCTCGCATGATCGATCATTATTTCTTTCAATGGTTGGAGCAACCCGTCGTTTAGTTTCATGGATATTTCGAACGGTCAATAAACCAAATACCAACATTAATAAGATGGGAAGAACCCCAGTATCAATCAAAATGTAAATACTAAAATATGTGGCATATGCTCCGTTCTGATAACGACAAACTCGATCATCTATTCGATAAAAGATAAAAACTTGAATGTATATGATACACCAGAATATCGCCATGCTGATAATGATACGATATGCAACTTTCAATGAACTCCATTGCCGTCGAAGAGCGTTCCGACTACTGGCAAAATAACGATCAATCGATGCCATAATGATATTATAACGAGAATTCGCGGTACCAATGTAAAAAAGATAATAGCGAAGTGTACAAAACCAAAGAAGATCATTGACAACGTTTACGTTGTAACCATATTGAAGCATTCGAATGAACAGGGCAAAATTATAAGTAAAAAATTGGGCAAAACTAGATGCAAGAAAGTACATCGCGCATGGACTCTTACGAAATACTGGCTGATAAAAAACGACACAAGTTAAAATCGCTCCAATATTGCCCATCAACCAAATTAGAGCCATACCATACCGTGAAATGATTGTGTTTACGAAATTTATTAAATAAATCTCATTTTCGTCGATAATTATGCAAGAATTATTCATTGTTCTTCAATTGGATTTTTAAACAAAATCTGAAATTTCAAATCAAAACTCTGTTTTTACTGAATAAAGTAGACTGAAGTGTCGTATGTTTATTATTAATACCTTCCGTCGCTAATCGACCAGTGTCTGCAGTTAGATCATTACGCATTTTGTGACGTGTCTGTATCTTATATATGTTTATTGTTAGTCATTCACAAACATATTGGGTAGCGAATGTTTCGTTGATGACATTATGTTTCGATGAATAGATTCATAGGAGCGAAAATGAAATAATAGGAATATGCATGTTGAACTCGATGATACATGTATATATTCACTACTATTGTCTCACGTCAAGAATTTTGAAGAGGAAATGATTACATCAGGCGCCATTAAAAAGAATTCTTCTGGTGTAGAAATAATTAGGAAATAGGTTGAAATTTGTTTCCAGTTTCTGTATACTCCTCGATGGCAATGATCAACTATGAAGATTCATATATTTATGAAGGTACAAACTGACGAACGTTTTGATTAACCCACTTCAGCCAACTCAAAATGTAATAGAGTCCCTAAGATAGAAATCTATAAAAATAATATATAATTATCTTGTCGGAGACAGAAGTAGTTAAGCTGCGACTCATGCTCAGATAAACTGATTAACCAAACCATGCTGCCATTAACATCTTACAATGTATTCAGTGAATCAGTCAGGGATAATCTGTCGTGAGGAAAGTTTTTAATTGAAAACGTCGCTCGGAAAATAAAAATGCGCTAAATATATCATTTGAAAAGCTATATACTATTTAAACGTCCTGTTTATGGAAGACGTAACTTTACACACCATCCCTAAGACGTGTTTCGGCAAAGTTTGGATCTTAAGACTAATCATATGTGATCTTTTCCCAAAAGTTCAAATGCTTCAGAATGTATTTTGAGCAAGAAATAAGAACTGATACTGGTGCATTGAAAAGCGGATAGAGCTCATTATGGTATCCGAAGGCTTGATAAAGTCAAACTTTCTTCATTAGAATATTCAAAAATGACTATAATTTCATAATAAACAGCAGCTAGAGGTGTTCTAGTGGATGTAGTTGTGTTTTTCTCGAAGTAAATTAATATCACGAAAGTTAGTTGAAAATTAAATAAGCTATGCGTCAAATGGTTTTAATCCCTGAAAACAAACTGAGAAAATTCTGCTTTGAAGAGTTGTGAAGCAGAAAAAGTTCTTTTGTGTCACTAAAATTCTATTAAAGAAAATCTGTGGATTAAAAACGTTGTAGTGACTTTCATCTACTGTTTAGTAAGTTAAAAATGCATCATGTGAGCACAACGAAATTCTGTATTAGGGGTTCTAATGATATCTTATGGATATTCATTCATCTGTTTTTATATAACATTACAGATTTCTACAAGAATTCCGAAAAATCTTGTGACTTCTATCAGGGATTATCCATGATTGATTATTACTTGTCACAAGTGTATTTATACTATCGATACTATTCTTTGTCTATTGTGATCA